TCCTTCCTCCTTTGTTTAGGCTTTCTTCCCTTCTTCATCTTTCTTTCCTTAGTTATAGGAGGTGGCTGAATGGGATCCCTACCACTATCTTCCCACATATCACTGCTATTGGTAGGATGGACAAAATGGTTATAAACTTCTTTATAGGTATCAACAGTATACCAACTACCCACATAATCTTCTGGATGTTCGTCCGCCTCCCAAATTGCACATATAGCATGCTTACAAGGAATATCAGAAAGCTGCCATTTTCTACATGCACAAGTCTTTTCAGCAAGGTTCACCACTACTTGTCCATCAAAGGACCTAACTTGGTACTGATTCTCTCCATCATACGTAGCTGTACAACCTTTCGCTGCTTCATCTTTCAGCTTTTCCAATTTTGTTTGTATTTTAGGACAAATTCGACCAGTCATTTTACCACCAACTTTGTTTTTCACATGCATACGTCTCATTAGTATGCATCTAATGGCCTCAAACATGGAGATAATGGGTTGACACCTTGCATCTAGTAGGCAACGATTGAAAGACTCACATAGATTGTTGAGAAGCATGTCACACCCACATAGAACTTGAAAATGGCTTCTTGACCAGTCTTTAAAAGGTCTCTCATGCAACCAATTCTTTGCCTTCTCACTTTGCCTCCCAATCTCTTGCATCCACCTCTTGAATTCACTTGTAGTAGTAGCTCGTGCTGCCTTCCAGATCAAGTCTTTCAGTAACAAGTCACTGGAAACATCTTTCCGAAAATTTGTGTACATGTGGCGTACACAAAATCGATGCTCCATGTCGAATAACTCATCATTTAAGGCTGCAATTAGCCCCTACAAGTGATTGTAAATTCAAATATTAGAAAGAACATAATACATCAAACCAGAAGGATAACATCTAAGTTATTAATAATAATTAATCTTAATTACCTTTTGACGATCAGACATAAAGCACCATCTGGGACTATTTTCTACTTCAAGATCTTCAACCAAGTTTCTAATAAACCATTGCCAATTATCTCTGTTTTCTTTCTTCACCAAGGCAAATGCAATGGGGAAAATGCAATCATTAGGATCAACACCAATAGCTGTTAGTAATTGTCCCCCAATATCGGTTTTGATAAAACAACCATCGATGGATATGAACCTTCTACATCCTGCCTTGAATCCGTCTTTGCATCCTTGCAAGCACATGTACATCCTCTCAAAAATACCTCCAATCTGCTCAATGATCACTGTGGATCCTGGGTTTGTCCTTCGAATCTCACCTGCATAATCATATAATTTTTCGTATTGATCTTTCTCTTGCCCACCTAATAGTACCCAAGCCTCACGTCTACACCTTTGAGCTTTAGGCATGCTCATGGTTAGCATCAAATCTTCCTTGACAGTTTGGATTAGAAGGGGACAAGACCATGCAGGATCAACTCTAAACCTCTCTAGGTACTTTTGTGCTATCCACTTGGCTGTGAGAAATCTGATATTGTACACTTTTTTGCAATGCTCACTATGATTTATATGACATGTCTTGATTTGAGGTGTCTTCTCACTAGACATGTAGGAGACCCATATTTCCCATGGACAACCATCTTGGCAAACAGCATGGACCCTCAACTTGTCATTATGCTTAAACCGAATGTTCCTTTTATGTCTTATTGCATAATGCTTTGCTGCCTCCTTGAATTCATCAAAGGATTTAAACTTGAGACCTTCAAAAAATACTGGATCATTCATATTCGCTTCTGCATTGAACTCGGAAAATCAATCTTTCATCTCACTTCCATCCTCAACCACATGAGTAAGCTCCCCGTCACCATCATAAGCAATATCATCATCATAAGCAACAGGTGATTGCGGATTTGATGCACCTTCCAATTGAAAATCAAATCCATTTCCAGCTTCCACTTCTTCATCGACATAATTATCATATATCAAATCATCTTCCTTATCCATCAAATCATAATCACTGTCCTCAAAATGTACCTCAAAATCAGAACTCACATCACTGCTTTCAGATAATGCATCTTCTGCAAAATTATTTGCCAAATTTCTGAATGTATGCTTCTTTGAGTTTCTTGTCATATTCCCACTTTCAGTATTATTGTCGTTAACACCTGCATAAAACAATAATTAGCTTGTTGTTACTAGAAACAAAAGTATACAAGAAGACAAAAGAACATATAAAAAAGATTAAAAGTGATCTGTGACAAACCCCACCCGCCTACATGCCTCATGTTTCAATCCCATACCCACCCATCTCTCTTTAGCTTTTCCTTCTCTTGTTACTAGAGACAAAAATGTGAAAAAAGACAACAAAAAAGGCAAGGCATAGAGAAGATTAAAAGTGGTCCATATGCATTATGCAAATCCCATTCTCTACTGCTGCCTACTACTGCTACGTGTCTCCCTAAAGACAGCAAAGACTAAGAGCATACCCCTTCCTTCAATTTAAATCTCACATATGCATAAATCCATATAAGCCTGCCCAGTACCCACAGTTACGGATTGCGCCGCACCGGCCTCGTCCACACTCCTCTTAGGCTCTTACTGTCGGTACCAAAACCCTAAGAATATATAACAGAATATATAACTCCATCTATTACCATAATCAAGCTTACCTCTTATGCTTCTTTTAGTTGGTTTGTCCGGCGGCATTGCAATGCAGAGGTCAAGGATGATCAATGGTTATTTTGTCCGACTTGGAAGCTTTTGGGGAAGATGAACAGCCGAGAGGTTTGGAGGTTAATTGACGGGGAAATTAAGGGTTAGTGATTTTTTCTTTCTTTGGGTAGATTTTTATTAAGCAATGAAATTGCTTATGTGGAATAATAGAGATTAGGTGTCGCCATGTCATCCCCGTTAGGGCTTTGTCAGCGCCGTTAAGATGACATCCGTGAGATTTGAACGAAAGTGATGGATGGCAATCTTTTATATTAAGTTCAGTGGTTTAGTTAAATTAAAAACAAGTTTAGTGGTAAACATGAATTAATAGAACAAGTTTAGTGACCAACAATAATTTTCACCCATCCGGTCCCGGTCCGGTCTCGGTCCGGATTATACGGTCCGGTTTCCGGTTTTTAATCCGGTCCCGGTCCAAATAGCCAACCCTAGTAACAACATTAGTCTCCAACCAATAGGAAGTTAGGATTGTGATGACTTTTTATTAGATGAGTTGACCTAGTGTAAAATCAAAGCAGGGGTATAATTGTCATTATGAAAAATATGTTTAAATAATAATAATAAATAATAAAAAATAAAAAAAATATATTTTTAATTTTCTGCCAAAAAATTTTGTTCGCCGGAATTCATCTGTCGGTCGCCGGAATCTGGTTGCCGGTCACCGGAATATGCTTTCTTGTCATCGAAATATGCTACCGTCGCCGGAATATGCTCACCGTGGTCGGAATATGCTTACCGGCGTCGGAATCTAGTCATCGGCGCCGGAATATGCCTATCGGAGCCGGAATTCGGTCATTGACGGTCGTCGGAGTTTGGTCAACGAATTTCGTTGACCAGTCAACGGTCAACGACCACCGGATATAATGGTTTGCATTGTGAGATTTATGGTTTGGTTTCATGTATTTTTTTATGCTATTTGTGGTTTGCTTTATCGTGTTTGTGGTTTACATTGAGAAGTTTCTGGTTTGCTTTCAAAAATTTTGTGGTTTGCATTGTGAGATTTCTGGTTTGTTTTAATATATTTCTGGTCTGCATTAGGACGTTTATGGTTTTAAATTACAATTGATTTACTGTGTTTGTGGTTTGCATTATGAGGTTTCTGGTGTGCTTTCGCAAATGTTGTGGTTTGCATTGTTGAGTTTCTAGTTTGTTTTAGGAGATTTGTGGTTTGCATTAGGCGGTTTCTGGTTTGCATTAAGAAGTTTCTGGAGTGCTTTCGAAACTTTTGTGGTTTGCTTTGCGAGGTTTCTGGTTTGTTTTAATATATTTATGGTCTGCATTAGGACGTTTTTTGTTTGCTTTACTGTGTTTGTGGTTTGCATTAGGGGGTTTCTGGTGTGCTTTCCAAAAATTTTATGGTTTGCTTTGTGAGGTTTCTGATATGTTTTAGCAAATTTGTGGTTTGCATTAGGAGGTTTCTGGTATATTTTTTGTGGATTGTTTTATTGCGTTTGTGGTTTGCACTAGGAGATTTTCGGCGTCTACAAACAACCATTTTTTTTTAAATTCTTACTTACTCTGTCAATGTTGGGTGATCTGTCAATTAACTCTGAAGAAGAAACATTAACATAGTAACATATGAGATCATGTCTAGCCGTTCTCCGGTATGTTAAAGACTGAATAACACAAGAGAAGGACCATCACTTTCTTCGCCAACCTAAGAGCTGAATCTACATTACCAGACCTTTCACTACCTCTATGGCTCTATTTTGAGTCCAGTAATATTCTGGAAACCGAACACTATTGTAACAATATTTGTACAATGGTTAACAATTTCTTATATAAAGCTTGAACATTCAGCTAAAACACCAAGTTCATTAAACCCAGTTTTCACCACTAGATTTCTTTTTATGAATGAAAACTAGGCATTATTCAAAGGGCAATACACCAGGACTGTATCACTAGAGTGATTATAGAGAAAAGACAGAAGAAAAGCAAAAAAGGGGCTAAAAAATACTTGAGACACCATGCACGAAACAAACCAGACCAAAAGAGAAAGAACATCAGGTTCTCCTAGCACCGAAATGCAAACTCCCATTGTTCCACCCCCATCACTTGTGGACATACATGATAACAAAAAATGCTAAACAAAAAAGTAGTTGCATGAGAAGATCAAGCATATATTTGAGGAATGCTAGTGAATTTCAGCAAGCGATAGCACAACTCTACATGCCTTCCCGCCCAAGATGTAGCCTACAACATAATGGAACTTTCACAAACTTAATAAACTAACTTGATCCACCGCCAAAACAACCGCATTCAGATTTCAGTTGTGGCCATTATCCAAGAATGATGAGTAAATAGAGATACCATAATCAAATGGAAGTTCAGCGTATGGACTTAGCTTTACTTTAATATCACAGAAATCCCCACAATGGTACAGAAAACAAGTTAAAAGAATCATCTAGGAATAGCAATCCATAAGTCAAAACTGACAAAGCGGTAGTCAACTCAAAACTGTGGTCTGTAGCCAAATAAACAGAACAGCTGACATCGCAACAAGCCATAAACCGTAGAAATGAACCTTTCCATTCCTTTCCCTAATGACTCTGCTATCAATCGAAACATTTTTCTCTAAAGGATTCTTCCAACAAGAAAGAACTAATGCATCTCCAGCTTCTGCTCCATCGAATCTCTTATCGGATCCGCTGCTTCCACGCCGTCGCAACTGATCCCCTCTCGGAAACTTCCGTATTCGACGAACTCATCTCGATTATCGAGGAAGCCAATCCGTTGGAGCGGGAGCTGGACACCATGGTCCCTTTCCTCTCCCCCGCCGTCGTCGCTTCCATCATCCAATAGACGCCCAATCCGCAGCTGGCGCCGGCGTCGGAAGAAAGAAGAGACGAGAGGAGGACTGGTAACCCCGGCAGAGGAAGAAAGAAGGAACGGTGGGGGATGGAGGCCTCAATCGTAGCCGCCAGATACATCTCGGTTCTGATCTAGCCGTTTGCCTGGGATTAGAGGAAGGTCGACGCTTCTTACCAAAAAAAAAAAAAAGAGGAAGGTCGACGCCTCTACCGTCAGAGTCGATAGCAGGGGTGTTCCTACCGGTGATGGAGGCGAGCGTACCGGAGGAGATGCAGCCGTTGGGGTATGGTATCGGAGGAGATCGAGAGAGACAGATAGGGATTGAAAATTTTAGTTCTCAATTGTAATTTATTAATTTCTGTTTGTTTTCCCTTTTTACCCCTGATGTTACTATAACAACACAAGGGGTGTTGTTATACTATCCGGGCCCCTACTTAGATAGTCAGTTTGATCCTGATAATGAGCAACGTAATCTACACAAAGATCATGGCAATGATGATGGCAGCGAAGAAGGATTTAGATCGGATGAGATGGGTTCATATGATGATACAGATAGTGAAGATGACGTTGCTGATAGCGGTTTGAGGAGAAAGAGTAGGCTAACATCCTTCAACACCAACACAGATATATCTTATTTCGAGCTAGGAATGACCTTTGTGGCAATGGACGAGGTCCGGAAAGCTATCACAAATCATTCTATTAAGGAAAAAAAAGATGTAAAGTTGAAGCAGAATGACACAAAGCGCATCAGAGCAGTTTGTAAGTGGAATGGTTGCCAATGGACACTATTTGTATCATGGGACAAGGCTTTTGAAAGGTTTAGGGTCAAAACCTATAAGCCCCACACTTGTCCACAACACTATCGCAATAAGAGGGTGGGTCCAAAGTTTGTTGCTGAAAAGTACATGAGGCGGATCCGAAGCGCCCCAAAATGGAAGTTACACGATATGATGGAGACAATTAAAGAGGAAACAGGTTTTTCTGTCAATCATATGACTTGCTGGCGAGTAAAAGTTGCAGTCCTGAAGAAAACTGAAGGTTGTTACAAGGATGAATATGGTATTTTAAGAACATATGCTGAAGAAATCTTCACAGAAATCCCGATTCAAATGTGAAGATCATGGTTGACACCGGTAACCCAGAACAGAAGCCGTTATTCCAAAGAATGTATGTCTGTTTTGGTGGCCTGAAGAAGGGTTTTCTTTCAGGGTGCCGCAAAATACTTGGATTAGATGGTTGTTTTCTGAAAGGTCTCTGCAAAGGTGAGTTATTAGCAGCTGTAGGAAGAGATGCGAATGAACAAATGTACCCGGTAGCTTGGGCTGTTGTTGATGTTGTATCAAGAAGTTCGTGGGATTGGTTCTTAACCGAATTGAATAATGACCTTGCTATTGGAAATGGAGATGCATGGACGTTCTGTTCTGACCAAATGAAGGTAACCTCATGCTACAGTCTATAATGACAATGTTAGCTTTTGTTTATATGAGTTTATGTTGAGTTATTGCCCCATATGTTGTAGGGTTTGGTCCCTGCCATTGCGAACATGTTCCCAGAAGCCGCTCACAGACTATGTGCAAGACATATTTTTTGCAACTGGAGGAAGAAATTCAGAAAGCAAGATTGGCACAAGATCTTTGGGAGACTGCAAAGTCCACTACTGTGATGGATTTCAACCGTGCCCTTGAAAAAATGAAGGCGTGTAATGCTGAAGCAGCTACTGCAATGGTGAAAGTTGATCCAAAGCATTGGTGTCTTGCTTTCTTTTCTGCATGGGAGCTGTCGGGTATTCCATGCCCACATGTTGTTAGTTGTATTGTATCCGAAGGTAAAGATCCACAGAGCTACATTGCTGAATGTTTTACTGTGGCTAAGTTTAGTAGTACATACGAGCATGTGTTAGATCCAATGCCAGGTCCCACAACTTGGGTGAGAAGTGAGTATGAGGCTGTACAACCCCCTCCATTTAGGAAGATGCCTGGGAGGCCAAAGAAGAAACGAGTAATGAGTGCTGAAGAGAGGTCCATGGATGGCAAGAGTATGAAAAAAGGATATATACTAGGGAAGTGTTGCTAGCATCCGATAAGAATGATCCGACTAAGTTATCGAGAATAGCAAGAGCTATTCAATGCAAATACTGTAAAGCTCAAGGACACAATTCTCGTGGATGCGCTAAACGCAAAGCTGTGAGTTTAATAATGATTACAGTGAATGAATGAATGTTATTTAATGACTAATCTTTTTACTTATTATGTGATGGATTTTTATTTTCACTATTCATGCAGGATGAACAAGCTTCAGTTGTTGTAGGATGATCTCGAGTAAGAATCCTTACATAACAAGCTTCTTTTGTTTCTTTGCTACTGCCGTTGCTACACTTTCTTTTTGCTTCTTTTGCATCTTTTTTGTTGTTGTTGCTGCTTTGTTATAATGCTGCATTTATGATGTCATGTTGCTCCATTTTTACTATCCTGCTAGATCCTATATTGCTGCTGCAATTCTGCTGCAATTCTGATGTTCTGTGCATGATCATGAGCAAGACACTTTGGGACTCAAGCAAGTTGCACTACCAACCTTGAGGACCATCAATTTAATGACATAGTTTTTATTGGAGACCATATTTTGGATTAGGAATTATGGGAGAAACTCATATACTGGAAACACGTTTTTATCTTTTTGGATTATAAGTTGGGGAAGGCTATAGTATTCTATTCCATGTTATGATGACAGTGATGGAGGATAGCTTGAGTAACCATCTTGGATTGGTTATATATAATGACATTTATTTATTATGTCGACAATGGACTTTGTTATCTCAAATTGGCTAATGGTGAAATGTAATCTGAGATTGCAAAATAGTAACGTGATAACTGAAAGGTAGGTGAAAACGTGATTTTGGGAGGATTAGTTAAGGTAATTAGGTCTCCAAAATTTGAAGGAAATGGGCAAAATAGTAACGTGATTAGTGAAAGTTTGCGGACTAGGAGGGTGGGGCCAAAACATAACGAATAGAAGACGGAAAAAAAGACAGAAGGGTGCGTTTGCTAGCACCAAAATTGTACAGAGATGTGTTTCTTAAACAAGATAGTAGAGGAGTGTGTTTGTTAAAAGCACCAAAGTAGAGGGGTGTCTTTTGTCCTAATCCCTATTTTAGATTTATAATTCCTTCACTGAATAACGTGCCCTCCCCTTTATAATTCCCACATTAAAAAAGGAAGTTACCCCTTTAAACGAGCCCATCACTTTAAGGCTAGCAAGGGTTTAAGAACTCATGCAACAAACAGTTGCTACAATGAATTTCATAAATCCTAGCAGGGGTTTCAAACCCCTTGCTACTAAAACCTTTGGCACATGTCATTTTTCTTGTAGTGTAAGTCTGTATCCTCCAAATGAAACACAGCATACTTAACCAATTAAGCTACACTAATTTTTTTGTTAATAGATAATCAATATCTATATTTAATTAGCTTAACCAGAGTATAATAACTTACTTACACTATTTCACGTTTTAAAGGAAAACAATCCTCAAATTAGCATAATTAACCTGTTGATTCTTTATCAAATTATTATTAATTTATATACATTTAAATACAAGTTCAATTGAACTTTTATCATAGGGTATATGTACAAGTTCAATTCGACCAATAAGGTATAGGTACAAGTTCATCAATTGAACTTTTACCATAAGGTATATGTCCAAGTTCAACTAGACCATTAAGGTACAGGTACAAGTTCAATTGAATTTTTACTATAAGGTTCATGTCCAAGTTCAATTAGCCCATTAGGTACAGGTACAAGTTCAATTGAACTTTTACCATAAGGTAAATGTACAACTTTCATGATTGTTACTATGATGTGAAGTCTATTATTCGGCCGACAACTGGAGTCACATGAAGAATTTTATCAAGAACGACTATCATGGTCTATTGATCGAGATTTCGTATTAAGGGGGATTTCTAGGTAAACAAGTATATGTATGAAAAATAGAAAGCCAAAAGAGGGTATTAATGAAGTTTCTTAATATTTTGGAAAATTTAGAAGTAACCCTAGCTTGTTCAAAAACAAAAAAGCCTTAACACTACGAGTCGAGATGAATTTTACGTATTAAGCTTAATTTAAGTAAAATTTAACTAAAGAATTAAAATGACAAAAAAGAACTTGTAGCCTTAGTGGTTGGTGTCCTTACCGTGTAGCTGTTGTGAGACCGAGGTTACTGACCTCTGAGTAACTAAATCTGGACCTTTAGATCTAAGTGGGCTTAGAAAATACAGATCTAAGGGTTGCGAATTAAATGCATTTTATTTCCCTAGTTTTTTAATCGGCTCTTATCTTCATCGTTCTAACTCGGATTTCAATTTTTTTTTGCACATATGGAACAAGTTCGTTGTGCTCTACAAAATGAGATCAATTTTCCATATATTTCGAGAAACTTTTTTTCATACACCCTGTTACCAACTACATACCATATGGTAACTTCTTCATTTTTAAGTCGTTTTTAAAACATTTGCTCAGAAGGAACGAGTTCATCATCTATTTGAAAAACTTTTTTTTAAAACTTTTTTTCATACATCCCGTTACCAATTACAGAGGAGATGTGAAGTATTTATACATCTCCATGTGGGGTCTAAACCTAATCCAATCTGGCAAAGGAGATCTCCGAATATTCCATTCGTAGCGGCTGATAGTCCAACAAATTCCACCTTGACTTGAATCCTCTTCCTCTGAAATTTGAGATATACTCTGCTCCTCTCTCTCTCTCCCGCCATCAATGCCCACTGAAGACATTCAGCAAGCCCAAGCAGTGTTGGAACTTGCCATGTGGAACTGGTTTCGTGAACATATCAACAGGATTATCCGTGGTGCCAACCTTCTTCACCTTGATCCTCTTCTCTGTAATCTAGAAATGATACCCCACGTCGATGTGCTTAGTCCTCTGATGGTGGACTTGATCCTTGGCCAAGCATATTGCACTCAAACTATTGCAATACACCACTACCTGATCATGATGTAGACCTAGATCACCAACCAGTCCCTTCAACTATATTCCCTCCTTAGCATCATCTGTTAATGCCATATACTCTGCCTCAGTAGTAGACAATGTCACCGCTGATTGCAAAGTTGCGTTCCATCTCACTACAGAACTCCTAAGAGTGAATACATAATCGGTCATCGATCTCCTCGTGTCAACATCTCCAGCATAGTCCGAGTCAGAATACCCAGACA